ACACTCTCAAAGGCCAAGATATACCCTCTCACGCGGTGAGGAGGTGTACACCCTCAACAACCAAGAGGGTTTCTCTTTGACATCAAGGTGTACACCCCCAACAACTGAGAGGGTTTCTCTTGGCCATCAAGAGTCTGATCTTAGCGGTTGGGTGAAATCCTCCTGTAAGAGTATAGTATTGTAGATTATGTTGCAGTTGTAAGTAAAGTAACAACCAGCAAAGTTCCCCAAGACTGAATATCCAGAATGAAAGTAAAAGAGATTCTTTTATATAAATGTGATTCAAGTGGAGTGCATTGATAACCTTGAGTTTTGCAGAATAGAAAGATGAAGAGGATCAAGCACAATGACATATTATGACATGTGTTGATGTGCTTCTTGTGGGATCAAGAGTGTGGTGGGACCAGAGATCAAGCACAGTTGTTCTCAGATTTCAACACCCCCCTTCCCTTGAGACAAAACAATCCCAAGGCTTGAAGAGATTTTACTAGGGCAGGTCATGGCACCAATTTGGTGAAGAAGTCGTCAAGCATTTGACCGGTAGGAGTGTATTGAAGAAGTATCTTGCCATCTTTAATGATTTCCCTGATGAGGTGCAATTGGATGTTGATGTGCTTTGTGCACTTTGAATTTGTATTTACATCAAAATTTGCAGTTTCAATACAAACCTGGTTGTCTTCATGGACAACTGTTGCACTTGCTGTATCCATCTCCTCAACAAGTTGAGTGATCCTGAGTAGCTCACACGAGAAATCTGTCACAGCACAGTACTCTGCTTCACAAGACAAGAGTGCAACCACTGGTTGGGGGGCTGATAAGCACAAGCCAACCCCCCTTGTGCTTGCCGTGCAGGCCCACACACCAAAGCAGATTGGCGTGCAGGCCTGCACGCAATCTGAAGCAAGTTTGATTGGCATGCAGGTCCTAAACCCATATTAATATGGGTTTAGGACCAGGGCTTTCCCATAGGACCCAGGTATGGGTCCTATGGGATAGCCTAAAAAAACACTTGTCGATCCTTGTAGGACACCGGCCGGTGTCCTAGGCCAGGAGGATTCCCTCCTGGTCAACGAGGTTGTACAACCTTTCCAGCCAGGAGGATTGGGATCCCTCCTGGTCGACGAGGTTGTACAACCTTGCCGGCCAGGAGGATTTGGATTCCCTCCTGGTCGATGAGGTTGTACAACCTCACCGGCCAGGAAGATTCCCTCATGTGGTTGACAAGGTTGTACAACCTTGCCGGCCAGGAGGATTCCCTCCTGGTTGACAAGGTTGTACATGAGACTTGTTGACCAGGAGGATTGGTTATATATACAATGGAGCCAGAGAGCCATAGACGTGCCTGGGGTTCTCAGCTCTCCTTGAACCCATTCTCAAAGAAAGATAACAGGCCGAGAGGGCGCCCCTCTTGGCCTTGAGACTGCACAAGGTCTCAAGGCCAAGAGGGATTCCTCTTGGCCTTGAGCCACTTGAGCCATGTACGGTCTCAAGGCCGGGAGGAACCCCTCCCGGCTGTGAGACTGTACAGTCTTTGGGCTGGGAGGAACCCCTCCAAGCCCGAGACTTTTTTTTTTTGCAATCCTCCCTCCCATAGGACCCATGCCTGTGTCCTATGGAAGGGAGATTGGTGTGCAGGCCTGCACTCCAACTGCAGGCCAATCTACCCTGCAGCAGATTGGTGCGGGCCTTCACACCAATCTACTTTGGCGTGCAGGTGCGCACACCAATCTGCTGCTGGCGTTCAGTTTGGCGTGCGCTGATCAACCCCCGTTCCTCAGCATATTCACCCCCAACAAACTAAATGAGTACAGTAAATATTCTCCACCTACTTAGAGTAGTTTTTTATCAATTATTGCTTCCAAAAAAACTGCAATAACATATTCTGTCATTGTCTCCTACAGTGCTCCTTTGATTGTTCAAAGTGCTATTACCTGAGGAGTGTGGACTAGACTCTAGCTGACACCTGCCTCAGATGACTACCTCCACTAGAGATGGTCGAAGGTATACAGTCGCGGATATCGTTATCGCTCGCGGATACCCGCCTGTAGCCAACGGATATCCGCCAGCGG